AATGTATGTCTTTGTATCCACCACATTTGCCTATTTATTGCTATTCGTTTATTCATTTTTGCCACCAATATCAAAACATGACATCTTCTGACGAAACTCTCTACTTCCATTGCTAATAGAGGAGCTGTTTGGCAGAAGCTAACAAGAATACGAGAGACTTCATACCTCCATGAAATATATGTTTTTGTACACAGTACACTAAGTTTTTCAAACACACAGCTAATACAAACCCTAACCCTAAGCCTGAAATAGGTCGCCTATTCCCCCGAGGGAACCCCATTAATCAAACCGGGTCCCAAGCGCACTGACTCGACATTACCACACATCTGTTGGCTACCACACATCTGTTGGCTCCCACAAGCACAAGTACAAAGGAGATTCCTCATTAAACCGGAAGTGCTGCTGCAGTACCAAGGCCATCCCCCAGGAGGCCCATATTTGACATTGACCTTCGTCCTCCTGAGACCTACCAGCATACCAAATATCATCACAATCCATAAATGCGTTATGGAGTTATGAGGGTACAAATGTGCGGAAACACAAATACACACACACACGCACACACACACAAACACACACACAGACGAGCCAAAAACAATACCTCCATTTTCATGGAGGTAATAAGTGGGCTTGCTCGCAGCTGTGAATCTCGACAAGTGCACACCGTCTGCAGAACGCATCTCGTCTTCAAAGAACGACCGAAAGGCATAAGAACACGAAGAGGTCAAATGTGGTTATGGCTGGAGGCCTTCAGTGCTTCTTACTCTGTCTAGTGCCTGAAATTTGCTTGAGGATATTAAGAAAAACGAAAAAAACTGCCTTGTCATAAGTAAAAGTAGATATAGGTGTTAAATATCAAAGTTATCTTATTCCCAGCCATTCATTTCGGTGACCCTCTGTCATTTTCATAAGGGTTATGTACAATGGCTGGTTTACTGTGCACTGAAGTTCGATGTTATGAAGTCCCAAAGGTAAAACAATTGTGATATACATAGGTATCGTTAAGTAGATATAGATATTGTCATCGCATGCCACAGAGTATGCTGGGTATTACATGGAACGTGACCTTGAACTTTGGAGGTTGAGGTCATTGATACGTGAAGACGTGAAAATCCTCGAAGGACAGACGAAGGCGTGAGAGGAATCTTGAGAGATAAGCGAAGACGTGCGAGAAATTTTGAGACAAAAGTAAACATCTCAAGATCATCTCGCAAAACATCTAACCTTTTTCTAACGCGTGTGACATTCAGGGTCAGCATTGACCCCTGACCCAGGTCATCCCGGGTCACGCGTGTACGTGTGGTTGACCGTGTATGGATATTCACTTGGCCTTGATACTCGGTGTGGCGTGACGCACTGTGGACTTGAACTCTGGTGCCTTTTCACCATGATAGGCCGTACAAGACGTATTGTATGTATGTATCAATCTGAGGCAGCAATTCTGATGCGAGTGAAAATTAGAAACCGAATTCTTGTTTCCGTTTGTTGATGATTTGGTGATTACTAGACATTGAATTTCACTGCTACATTGGCTTTACTAGTATCCATCCATCCACCCACTTATCCATCCGCTCATCCATCCGCTCATCCATCCATCCACCCATCCACCTAATCTCCAAGCAGATCATACGGTGGCAAGGCAGCATCCTTTGGCCAGAGGAGTGTCCATTAGCCACCGAAGCCAATGAATACTATCTGGCTAATGGATACTGCCTGGCCAATTTGATACTGTCTTTTGCGGCCACGGAAAGATCTGCTTGGGGATTACATACTGAAACGTTCTGCCGGACGTTGCCCCCACTTCCCGACTTGTTTTTTTCTCCGGAGAAATGAAGACTCGCGACGTGCCTACGAGCACGTTTCTGTAGATCTAAAGGTTTTAAATCAAAGCAATCCACCGCACAATCTACTGACTCTATTTCCAGATGGCTTTTAGAGATACATATGTAAGAAACAAACCGGCCAGCCGTATGCCAGGGCAAGCTGTACTGGGGACTGTTTTAGCCATCATACTGCTGCAAGAATCGTGAAGAATTTACCGAAGATGTTTTCAAAGAATATTAGCATGAATGTTTTAGTCGTTTTCTTTTTTGTTTTTCGGCTTTCGCAAATGCTAGTCTACCACGACCAGGTTTTTGCCTAACGGCATCAGATTTGAACTTAATAGTTAGAATAAAGGGTTTATCATCATCATCGATACATATTTTGAATAGCCGAAAATTTGACTAAGTTCAAATTCTACCCGATGTTAGAACTTACCCTTTAGAACCAGTTTGATGATGACTTTTATCAACACAGATATAGATAGGCCTTCAGGCTGTTTGATGTTGAACCAGGGACAAGGCCAACGTTTGGGCGGTATCGACATGACTGAAATTCAACTTTAAGATGTTAGAGTCAAATGGCTGAAATGCCAGGTACAAGGCTAGGCGTGATCTTCCCATTCCTAAAATTCATACTCTCCAAGCAGAGGTTGTGGGGAATGATCGTTAGCTTTTTATATATGGCCGTTTTTTTTTGGTCGCTACCCCACCGTCGGTGGCCGCGGACCTTCTCTGGCTAATGGATACTGTCTTGCCACACCGAAAGGGATCTGCTTGGAGATTATAAAATTCGCGCTACAGGCGCTAGGCGCAACTACGAGTAGGTGGCTACGAGTGGCCCCGGTAGCTTCAACGCTTTACGTTTAATTCAGGGAGGTAGCGGATATGTATTAGGTTAAATTAGATAGGCTGCTTTCGCTTTACGTGATTACGGTTCATATTGAGTTAACTTTTAGCGGCCAGGCTACTAATTAAGTAGAGCATGGTTCGTGCCTGATCACAGATAAAGCACGGTTCTGGATACAACTTAACAAGCTTGATAGTGTACTCAGAGTTGTTGAAAACAGGCATATCGAAGGATCCAAAATCAAACGACACATTGGAGGAACGACGTGGGGCTAAAAGCCACAAATGATGAGTGTAATGTCTGCAATATCCTTTTTCCACATTCCAGTTTGATAGCTGAGCTACCGTTAATATAAAGCGATCGACATTTGATTGCAATGCGTGATGTTTAAAAGACAAAAAACACTTATAACGTAAAAAAATCTTATCTATTAAATTCGTGGAAAGAAGGTGTGAAGCAGGGGCATACTGATGACATCTTCCTAATGACGATATCAGTATCGAGTTGCTTTAGAAGTTCACAAAAACTTACCTCCCAGTCCGCAACTTTCGGCCGAAGTTCTTGGCACGCCCTCCGTCTGTTCTCAGCGGTTCCTCGGAGATGTCTGGACTTCCCCCAAGACGTGACGGCTTTCTTAAGGCCTTAAAGACGCTAGTGGTGATGACGTCCAACCATCTCAGCTATGCTTGGCGTGTGTGTTGGCAGCCGGCCAGTCTTTACACGCAAGTGGTCATTTTGATGTTTTCCGTGAGTCGGGCGGGTCGTAGCCTCCTTCGCAGACTTCTGAGGTGGCGAGTTATGCCGCGCGGGGACGGTTTTGCCGCCGAGGGACTTTGCCGGAAGAGACGTTTCGTCGCATTTATTGCGAGAATTTCGCACATCTATGGGGCCTAGCA